AATTCTTTCGAACACTATGGATTTTCCTCAGTCGCCTCCAAGGCATGAAAATTTTGGCCCTTATATTTGTAGCATCATTAACGGGTCTTTAAAAGAAGTAATAGCTGTGTGGTGCAGTTCAATTAATGATCTGGCTCAACTATGATTAACTTTAAATGCCCTAACTGGGCATTTTGTGTTCTCAGGAAGCTTAGAAACAGATCCGTCCGTGCTGTCATGATTTTGTCCTTGTTCAAGACAGATTACGCAAATTGCTATTGATGGCATGTTGATTGTCCTCTCGTATGTCGTTCAATAAGGTATCTAGTAGCCACTGCCAGCAGATACCGCCTCAAAATGACGTTTGTTAATGGCGGGGTGATTACCCAGTAAATAAACAGACCCATGAGTGGTTATGAAAACTCGATGGTGCAACGTTATGACGAGATCATTGAAGTGATATGTTGATATGTTGATGTCATAACAACATGTGAGAGGTATATCGAGTTGTGTTGAGTCATGTTGAATTAGAACAAGATATTTGTGAGCGTTACATCTGAGTTACGACAAGCCAACATAATTGTAAATGATATGTGAAGTTTGTTGCGATGCTAAGTCAAGCAGTATAATGTTAACCATCACGAGGCTTTCATGATACCCTAGAGGCAAGTGTTTCATGTATTTTTGAATTTCTAAGACGACAGATGACTGAAATATGTAGAGGCAGTCGGGACCCATTTAAAAGTGAGAATTATTTAACACGGCTCCCATGTACTATTCATGAAACTCGTCGAATGTTTAGATGGTTTTGTTTTATATTAGATTATACAGCAGCCTGTTGTGATCTCTGAAATGTGCACTTTACAGAAACTTCTGGCACTGAAAGACCGGATTACTTATGTGTGAGCTGCTTAGCACTATAAATCATGTCACCTCAGGCTAAACCACTGTCTCCACCATTAGTACGACAACTGGCTGGGGCTGCGAATGAACAATGTAAGGTATTATAGATGTGAACAGGTCCATATTTAATGTAAACATTGATATCTAAATATACGCTGTACCCCACATAAACATTGGTGTATGGTCACATACAGCACCCGATGTAAACCTTGGAGTGTGAACACACCCCGCAACTACGTAAACATTGGTATTTAGACAAATGCTTTACGCCCGATATACATTGGTATGTGAACATACGTTGTACTCAATGTAATCATTGGTGTGTTAACACACGCTGTACTCAATGTAATCATTGGTGTGTTAACACACGTTGTACTCAATGTAAACATTGGTGTGTAAACACACGTTGTACTCAATGTAATCATTGGTGTGTTAACACACGTTGTACTCAATGTAAACATTGGTGTGTTAACACGTCTGAACCTCTACGCAAATATTGGTGTGTAAACACGTCCTCTGTCCCTCTCTGTAAGCATTGGTGTGTGGACACGTCTGCCTCTCTATATAAGCGTTGGTGCGTAATACACGCTCTGTCACTCTTTATAAGCATTTGTCTGTAACACGCTCTGTCCCTCTATAAAAAGATTGGTTTGTAACACACTCTCTGTCTCTCTATAAAAAACATTGGTTTGTAACACACTCTCTGTCTCTCTATAAAAACATTGGTGCGTAACACACTCTCTGTCCCTCTATAAAAACATTGGTGCGTAACACACTCTCTGTCCCTCTATGCAAGCATTAGTGTATAAACACACGCTGTACTCAATGAAAGCATTTGTGTGTAAACACGTGTGTCCCTCTACGTAAACATTTGTGTGTGAACACATGTTCTGTCCTCTATGTAAGCATTTGCGTGTAAACACGTGTGTCCCTCTACGTAAATATTGGTGTGTAACACACGCTCTACTCGTCAATGTAAACATTGCTGAGTCAACACACGCTCTAGCCAATAAAACATTGATGTGTGAACACACGCTGTTACTGTCTTGAACGTAGTGAAGATAGGACAGGATGGCAACCAAAACAGATCTCTTATGATCGGTTCTCCCAACTATCAAGTTTTAGTTGGTTATATTTTACAGTCGATACTTGTAACTACTGTGGACTAACTTGAAATCACAGATAGGCGAATTTGTGCAAAATAGGAATGTATTCCAGAGTAATTATTTATAATTAGGAGAACCGCGAAGTGGAAACAGTCGCGTACCTTTTCCGATCTGTTTTGGTCGCCATCTTGGTAGGTCCTGTCCCCATTGGATACAAGACAGTGGTTGTACCAAATGTAAAACCTGGTGTGTCAGCACACGCCATACCCATTGCAAAAATCCGTGTGTGAAGACTCGTTGTACCCTATGTTAGTGAGTAAATATATATATCCATACTCGCATTAAACATTGGCGTTTGAACATTCGCCGTACTCTCTGTAAATATCGGTGTGTAAACATTCACCGTACTCTCTGTAAATAACGGTGTGTAAACATTCACCGTACTCTCTGTAAATATCGGTGTGTAAACATTCACCGTACTCTCTGTACTCTCTGTAGATATCGGTGTGTAAACATTCACCGTACTCTCTGTAAATATCGGTGTGTAAACATTCACCGTACTCTCTGTAAATATCGGTGGGTAAACATTCTTCGTACTCTCTGTAAATATCGGTGTGTAAACACTATCCTTCCTCACTTGAAACATTGGCACGAAAACATTCTCCGTGCTCGATGTAAAGTATTGGCGTGTAAGCACTCTCCATACCTATTCTATGGCGTTATGTAATCTTTGATTATTTTGGTCCAGTATTTGTTTTATTCTTCCGTAATAGTTTAAAATATGGATCCTCCACACGGCCAATTCCGTTTAAAGTAATGCTGACGGTTTTCCTTTAAAATTTAGGCATTACCGAACAACAGCACTAGTCTTTCAAGAATTACGTAAACTGAATACATAAATCTCCATCATTTAATCGTAATTATCTCAATTATAAACTGTTTTGGAAGTTTCGACCTGTAGCAACTGTAAATAATCAAGCATGAAGGCAACTTTAAAATTACTAGTTGGAGCTGTAAAACGATATCAACATTTTCATATTTTCTTCACATTAAGCGGAGAAGACTCTGTAAATGGAGATACAAACCGGTGATTCCTCATTAACAAGGAATTATAAGGAAAACAACGACCGGTTACAATAATCGATCACATCTTTCTTTTCGTTAAGTTTGGCACTGTGAGAATGAAGTGAGGAGAAATTGGGACCGGGAATTAACGAATGGCTTCGAACTGAGAAATTAGGACATGGAAATGACGCGAAGCCTCTGACTGAAAAACTAGGAATGGAAGTGACGTGTGGCGTCGTACTGAAAAACTAGGACATGGAAGTGACGTGTGGCGTCGTACTGAAAAACTAGGACATGGAAGTGACGTGTGGCGTCGTACCGAAAAACTAGGACATGGAAGTGACGTGTGGCCTTGCACTGAAATTTTAGAACAGGGAAGTGATGGATGGCTTCTCAATGAAAAAATAGGACAGAGAACTGAAGTGTGACCTCGCAATGAGAAATTACGACAGGGAAGTGACGTTTAGCCTCGTACTAAGAAATTAGGACAGGGAAGTGACGTGTCGCCTCATACTGAGAAATTAGAACAGGGGAAGTGATATGAGACCTCGCGCTGAAATATTGGTACATGTGGCCTCATATTGTGAAATAAGGACAGGGAAGCGACTTTTGGTCTCGTAGTTAGAAATTAGGACAGAGAAGAGACGTTTGGTCTCCGACTGAGAAATTAAAACAAGGGAAGTGATATGAGACCTCGCACTGAAATATTTGGACAAGGAAGTGACATGTGTGTTGTCATCGTATTTCGACACGACAGAAACATGTAGACGGGTACTGAGAAATGATGACCGGAAGGTTACATATGATAGCAGAGATGACATTAAGATGGCGGTTTGACCTTGAAATAAGACGCAATATAGACGAGGAAAGACTTATGCTATCTGTAACTGAATTGTTTCAGTTACTGTCATTCTCTGACAACATTTCTCTTCTCACGACGCGATTAACGACGGCATGACGACTCAAGAGACAACCAATCGTTCAATAAAGGGGCAATTTTGCTCAACAGGCTGGGATAATTTTACTCGACCACAAGGAACGCAGTAACTGATATGAGATACGTTAATAAGCACGACCTTTTTTATGTGCGGATGTACAATTGTAAGACGAGGCCATCGATTTTTACGTATAGTATATTTCGTTTTCTCCCTTCTTAAGGTCACAAACCTAGTGTGTATAATGGCAAAAACCATCGCCAAACGTCTTAACTATACCGGATTACTGGGAATTCATAAATACTTTTTTATAATTTGTCATTGCCATGCCTACATTGACTCGGGACGGAGGTGACTCTGGTTAGCTTAATTATAACAAGGAACGGAGGTGCCTCTGGTTAGCTGGGTTATAACAAGCCCTTCGTGATGGATTTTCAAAAAAAAAAAAAAAAAATAGAAAGCTTAAAAACTCGCCCTGATTTCAAATGTTCATCTACTAACAAAATAACAAGTCATGTTCTCTCCGACCTTTCGGACACTAGTAAACGACATTCTATTGATTATCGATTAACAATAGTTCGATATTTGGTACAACTTCTTCGAACTGATTTAGAGTCACATTTTTACCAATGTCTGAATGAAGACAAATTCAACATCGTCGTTTTTATCTTTAGAATCAGTGATATGTACCAGTTTCACGTATAGAATTTAATCAAGGTATATGACCTACATACATTATGGGGCTGTCAGATCATCTTTTACGGATTCAACCGAACCTAAACTGAACCTGAACCAACAGATAAATGCTTTAATGTATACCATGTTTCGATCTTTCCACTTTGAACATACATTCTAAGAGAGATCTCTATATCAGACCTGAATTATATAAATCTCAATTTATAGGTACTGTGTACCGTGTCTGGGACACCGATAGCCTATCCCTAGGTCTCCAGTGCCTTTCCGATCGACAGTGACTACTCCAAAACATGCACTCCATGGATGTGTTACTTACCATCCGCTGCAATGGTGCACACACGCCAAAGTCCGGACCGGACATTCATATTGATGACAAAAGTTTGGTTGTCCACGGTTCCGGTGACGGGTTCCACGGTGAATAACCAGGCGTCCGTGGACACTGAAAGTACAAGAGTCACCAGGGCAATTGCGCCCATGGAGAACGACACTATCGTCAAAGATTTGGGACCACAATGCATTTTTGTTGTTTCCTTTCTAACAAAGCTCCATACCCACCAGAATGTTTATCATCTACACCTTGGTGGAGTTAAAACTGCTATCCTTGAATGCGAATTGAATATTGATATGATACTGTGCAGGTGTAAACCTATATACGAGATGTCGGTGGTGCATCCATTACTTTCGATAAATCTTCAGCGAGCAAAATAACATGACACGTGCTTTCAGCAGTAGGTGGTACATTAGATACTATAGTGCTACACTGAATCTGGCTACTACAGCTCGCTATACACTCACCACACAGCCAGTACCATTTATTCTACCATCATATCATTGTGATTCATATACCCTCAGTGACATTATCAAGTTCATTATGATGGTTGCATAGTCTCCACTGACCTGCTTTGGTCCTCATGTCACATGTAGTATCAGTACGTCCCATGCACTACCACTACGTCCCTCCTAAGTCCGGGAGGGCCTCCAGCGATTGGCCCAGAGTGACGCTTCTTCTCCTCCCTCCTGACAAAAGGAGGTGTGGCCTAATCTATTCTGTGGGATTTAGGCCCCGATCGAGAACACTATCCAAAGTCCATGTGTGAACTGTTTTGCTGATGGAATGGACACGTGCTGAAGTTATGAATGAGCCGAGTGTCTTTTGTACAGTGAGTATATATTCTTGTGCAAGGAGATAGCTCCACTGTCATTCATAGTATCCGTACACCCTATACATTACACAAGTCAGTTCACTCCACCAAGTAGACAAAGCATACATCATACATTTGACTTATATCGCGGCTTTTCCACTGGATTTTGCACTATTGATTTGGGAGCAGTCGACCACTATGGTGGAGCAGAGAAGAGAAATAGCAGCTACACCGCTCTACAGTCTAATACGCGTTTCTAAAGCACAGAAATCTTAATAAAATGGAATCTATCATTGTGTAAAAGACTGTAGCCGACACAATGTTTGGAGTGTGGCACCATTGGTGCATGTTTAGCCGCTGTCTAGACAATCACAAGCTTGGAATGTGGCATGAGTTGTCCAGACGCTGCCACCCATTCAACAAACTCAAGCTTAGAGTGTGGCATGAGTTGTCCAGCCGTAGCCAGCCACTCAACAGATCAAAGTTCGGAATGTGGCATCAGTGCAAATGGTTACAATTGCTCAAAAAGTTTGGAGTGTGGCATGTGTAATACATCTGTAACTGTTTGCGCAACTAGTCCAGGTTAGGGGCGTGGCATGAGTGGCACAATTGTAGCTATTAGCTCAAAACTCTTAAGTTTGGAGTGTTCGGTGACTGAACCAATGTAGCTCTATATCGATCCGCTCAACAAAACCATGTTTGAAGTACGGAATATAAGTCTTGCATTTACCTCGAATATTCTTCCCATACATATTACACCTCCTTTACAAAAGGGTGTGCTTTACCAGGTTTACCATGGGATTGAATTAGGCTGTTTATGTCGTAGACAATATTTCCCCCATCCCATACCTACATATCCCCATTTCAGGTGGACAGGACTTCCTGAGAGAGATGCCTACATCTTAATTGATTTCTACTCACTATATTCTGAAGGATTGTTTAGATATGTTGTCTCAAACATCAATTAAGATTCAGATATTTTGAGGAAATGACTCAACCGTTAATTATATTTCAGGTTCACCTATGGGTAGATCCATACATTTGGCAAAAGAGGGAAATCAATTTGCTAACATTAATACCGAACCAACATTCATCTGAACAAACCTTTATCTCAACTTATATTCACGTGAACAAACCTTTATCTTAACTAACATTCACGTGAACAAACCTTTATCTTAACTAACATTCATCTGAACAAACTTTTATCTCATCTTACATTCACCTGAACTAACCTTTATCTCAACTAACATTCATTTGAACAAACCTTTATCTCAACTTATATTCACGTGAACAAACCTTTATCTTAACTAACATTCATCTGAACAAACTTTTATCTCATCTTGCATTCACCTGAACAAACCTTTATCTCTACTAACATCATCTCATCTGAACAAACCTTTATCTTTTGAACAAACCATCTGAACAAACTTTTATCTCAACTAACATTCATTTGAACAAACCTTTATCTCAACTTATATTCACGTGAACAAACCTTTATCTTAACTAACATTCATCTGAACAAACTTTTATCTCATCTTGCATTCACCTGAACAAACCTTTATCTCTACTAACATTCATCTGAACAAACCTTTATCTCAACTAACATTCATTTGAACAAACCTTTATCTCAACTTATATTCACGTGAACAAACCTTTATCTTAACTAACATTCATCTGAACAAACTTTTATCTCAACTAACATTCATTTGAACAAACTTTTATCTCAACTAACATTCACCTGAACAAACCTTTATCTCATCTTACATTCACCTGAACAAACCTTTATCTCATCTTACATTCACCTGAACAAACCTTTATCTCATCTTACATTCACCTGAACAAACCTTTATCTCATCTTACATTCACCTGAACAAACCTTTATCTCATCTTACATTCACCTGAACTAACCTTTATCTCATCTTGCATTCACCTGAACTAACCTTTATCTCATCTTACATTCATTTGAACAAACCTTTATCTCATCTTACATTCACCTGAACAAACCTTTATCTCATCTTACATTCATTTGAACAAACCTTTATCTCATCTTGCATTCACCTGAACAAACCTTTATCTCTACTAACATTCATTTGAACAAACCTTTATCTCATCTTGCATTCACCTGAACAAACCTTTATCTCTACTAACATTCACCTGAACAAACCTTTATCTCTACTAACATTCATTTGAACAAACCTTTATCTCAACTAACATTCATCTGAACAAACTTTTATCTCAACTAACATTCACCTGAACAAACCTTTATCTCTACTAACATTCATTTGAACAAACTTTTATCTCAACTAACATTCATTTGAACAAACCATTCACTAACATTCACCTGAACAAACCTTTATCTCATCTTACATTCACCTGAACAAACCTTTATCTCATCTTACATTCATTTGAACAAACCTTTATCTCATCTTACATTCATTTGAACAAACCTTTATCTCATCTTACATTCACCTGAACAAACCTTTATCTCATCTTACATTCACCTGAACAAACCTTTATCTCATCTTACATTCACCTGAACTAACTTTATTATTTTGCCTTCACCTGAACTAAAATCTATCATGATATTCATCAGAACTATCTTTTATCTTATCTTACACTCACATGAATTAACCAAACAAATTTAAATATAAACTCATATCTCCTGATCTAACCACTATGTGAACTAACATTCACGTGTACCTACTTTTTCTACCCATGTTTCACACGAACTAACCTTCATCTAAACCAGCATTTCTATCGACAAACCTTACCACAAATCAGTATTCTATACTATATTTCACTCATGAACTCACCTTTGTCACCTCTAGCTGTTCACGTCAATTACCTAGAAAAGATAGCCCTTTTAGCCGTGAGTTAGAATTTGCAGACTCCCAGGGTTATTTCTATAACATCCTCGGGGAGACGATTTGACCAATCATAAGGGAGGAGGGAGGAGCTTGCACTGACATGACCTTTTCACCTACATTACCTCAATCGATCGCGGGACAAAAGTGCAGATGGTATTCATAAAAGAGACGTTGCTGTCGAAAGTTTTTTTTAAATCATTTTTCTTAATATTTGCATTTTTTACACTTGTAAACATTTAATAATCTTTAGTTTTGTATCGGATAAATAGCTCTCTGTGTAGATGAGATGTGTTCCCGGCGATCCAAACCCTTTTTTCCTCCCAACCTTACATGTAGTTTACGTATGTAAAATGCGGTATACTAAGATCTAGTTGGCTGTTTTACAAAAACATCATTTTGGTGTAGAAATCGGTTGATGCATTCGAACCAAGGACCTGTCATAGTTCACAAACGATATTTTTGTCCGTGGTATCAATTTGGTTAACGAAAAATAGATCAAACAAAAACAAACACATCTGTTGTGTCACAACAAAAACACTGCATGTATATTGTATATGAGGACTAGTAAGGGTGTTCAGAAGGATTCAAGGTCACAGAAGTATGACCTGTTTCACATAAAACACCATGAGTAGTGGCAATGATGGGCAAACACAAGGATTCGTTCGCGAGCACTCTAGTGATCTGGACAACCCAAGCGATCAACAATAACGTCGGATGACTGCAAAACTAAACATCAGGTAAATTATCATAAGACAGGAAGACAACTAATGCGATTTGTTGTCGTAATATAATTTGCCTTAATCTTCAAAAACAAAGACGCTTAAACTATACGTATATGATAAATGTATCTCCAGTATAGACTGGAGTAGCTGATGAGCTGGTGAGCGTGCAGAAGGCGTGGTCTGATGGACCTGCAATGCGTTGTAGCACTGGTCGTTTATCTATGCAGTCAGCAATTGACAGTTTCAAAATAAGAGAAAATTAATAACTATGTACTTGTCTGTATCCTTTATGATACACAGACAACGCATTGAAGTACTTTAACACCATGGTCTCCATTCTCTAACAACATTCCGGTTTACACTGTGCATGTACTCGCGTGCGGACTTGTAATTCTGCATCGGCCAGGTACAAGCGTGCATCACGAGTTTTGTATGCAATTATGAATTTGACACCTGTTTCATACTGAATGAGAGATGTAGAATATAAATTTAGTATCTCACTGTATCTCATTCCGCTATCCACTAAAAGTTATGTCAACGTTCACTGCGTCTTAAGAACAAGTGAAAAGATTGATACTTTCTGTATGAAAATGAAATCAGGTATATTTTAACATAAATATATAAATCAATCAGCTGATATGCCCAAGCGTGTACGAACAATGTAGAGGTAACGCACCCGCCTTTACCCTGGCGATCGTGGTTTGATTCCCGATCGGACGTGAACAGGTGCATTGTATGGGTGTCCTCTGGTGGATGACTTGGTTTTCCCCCGGGAACTCCTCTTTCA